AGTTTCCCTTTTAAATTGTCTTTTCTTTTGTTGAGCCTAGGGAAATATTTCTTGGGCTGTATTGTGCATGGATTCGTTTCATGTGTTTGCTGGTCATTTCTCGTATGTTATTGATTTAGAGAATTCATGGACGGACAAAGAGGAAATATTATGGAAGGATGTGTTGAGGTGATTTAGTGGTGAGCCTTCGCCTCCTCGTTGGTAGTTGTCATGCGATCGTGTGACAATGAACCGCACGCTTAGTATAGAGAAGAGACTTTGAAGGACCAGATTTACGGGATGAGAAAACAAAAAGATGTCATTGTCGGACAATGGCATTGTAGAGTAGTGTCCGAAGTATTTGAATGGATAATACTGAGCAAGCATTGGAGAATTGACGTCATGGCATATCTGTAGTTCTTTGTCAGCAAGGCCAAGCATAGCTGTCAAGCGGCCATTCTTGCAGTATTTCTCTGCTCAGGGCTAAAGTACCAGAGAAGCGTATCTCAGCGGAGAGTCAGTGCCGGTTGCTTATCGTTTTGTGTTTCTTGTACTGAAGTCGCACTAATGAGTGACGATGCGGTTTGGTTAATGAAGCTGTTCGACTAGCCAGTGCCGCATTCTTTCTTCTTATTTGTGTTCCCGTCTTCCCTTACACTTCCAGGCCGCCAAACGTTTATGCACTACCTCCATATGGGGCGGACCAGTAGAGTTTGGGCTTGGCCGGCTGGGCGAGCTCCGGCTGGGGAGTTGCAGTGCCAAACCCCGCAAACCCTTTGCTGTAATTGCACCAGATCCTACGTTCCCCACCGGCAAAGGTGACTCAGCGGAGGCGACTCGTATCTTGCCCAGAGTCTCTGAACGAATCGTTTTTGGTTTCCCCGAGTCCGGCCCGCGTGAGGATTTTGGACGCTCATCACAACAGTATATTGTCGATTTATCTGCTCGCAGTGGATGAGCATTCTCGCGCTTTGGCCTGCTCTAATGGCTAGTTTTCTGCGGTTTTACCTACAACCGAGGCGCATGCCGCCATCACCTTCCCACGGGCAACGGACCGTGCGGTCCTTTCTCCTTTCGTCTTCTTCAACACATTACTTACCCGCAACTTACAGCATCGACTACATTGTTTACTCTAGTCGGGGGCCGTCCCGGAGCTGACTAACCCATGTCCTTTCTTGGGCCCCCGAATCCCCGCTCCGTGGGACACGATTACAGTTAGGGAAATCAAGCGAACCATGGCATTCTGCACCGATTCGGCCGGCCGCGGAGGATCATCCGTCATCCTCCGCGATAAAGCACTACACTATAACTGTACGGGTTAATAACCTTAGTGTTAACCGCCCGGCTCCCCCGAGGTCTGCCCATCTCCATCAGTTCCGCTGTGGACCACCAACAACCTCCAGACTCAAGGATTAGCAGCCCCATAGGACCGCCTTTACCATATCCGTTGCCGCGCCGGCAATCAACGCATAATGAGCCTCGCTCATTGCCCCCCCCCCCGTGTCTGAAGGGGTTCGCCGTGCGAGCAGCAGTGGGTGCGCCGCCGCGACAGGTGGCGCCCACGCCGGTGACGCCGCAGCTCGCCGCGCCGCGCCGCTGGGCACGCAGCCCCGCCTGCCCACCAGAGGGCGTGTACCGCTGGCAGCCGCCCGCGCACCCTGCCGCGCACGCCTCGCTCGGCGTGCACCGGCAGCCTGGACATTTCGCCTTCTCTCGGGCGGTCGGCTCCTCGTCCGGCCCTGCAAAGGGCCCCGGTCTACGTTGACCCCCGTTTAATAGGTGACTTCGGATTGATCGTCGCATGGCTAAGTGTTGTGTTAAACCATCCCCGGCAGCGTTCAGCCACAAAAATTAAAGTATCCCAGTAATGTCCCCTGTCCACAGTTACTCTCATAAGTCGAAAATGAGAACGACTACGTCTATCCAACATCGGTTTTCCCTTTATTTTCTTTTAGGTAGAATACGATTATCCGGCTTTTTTTTTGAACGTTTTACTTTTTGACCGTCCTGTCCTAAGATTAGTTTTGTCCTTTCCCGTTCCTCAGAGTTTAAAAACCAATGTCTAAATGGAACCATGGGATCTTCGCTTCGTGGAACTTGCGCCTTGTTCAGGCTTATCGTGGAATCTTGTTTTAGCGTGCTGATGAATTTCTTTATTTCATGTGATCTGTCAATTTATTTGCGATTATTCGTGTATTGCAGGTATGCTACATTATTTTTACCAGGGCTTCATTTAGTTTGTTGATGTATTATAACTTATTTCTTCTACTTTTTGCAGTTATAGACATCAAGGGCAAGTGGTAACATGAATTTCTTTTTTTCGAAATTGTTAACGAATACCTTATTCTAATTTTAAATTGTATTAATTAAATATATGTTTTAATACTTTTTAAGCTTGGATGGGAGTGGTGTTCGGATAGTAAATATCCAAAATCATAAAGCAATAGAGTAAAACTGGAGTCATACGTTTTTATATAACAAATAGAAAATGTCGATTTATCGTTTATTTGGAGCGATTTTTCATCTTATTATTGCTCAATTGTAATGAATTCTAACAATATCATTATCCTCTATTTCTGTTTTTTTCCATTAATAAGAAGTATCATTTCTTTGTCATATATTTTTGATGTTGTTGTTGTTGTATGATTTATTACATCAGTTTACGAGGGGAGATGGTCATCGAAATACTCTTCGTTTTGAGCATATGGCATTTTATTAAAGGGAATCTGGTGTCCAAACGTATTGATACAAATAACTATAGGATGATGATTGATATGTTAGGAGCGGCATGACTGGATCTTAAATTCCAATCCACCAATACCTGTTAACCTTAGTTTAGGTAAACTGAAGATTTTGGTATTTTGCATGTTAATTTATGAATTACTTTTCCCATCGTTGTCACCTGTAAAGTATTATGGACGAGGATGTATATAAATTCTGGAGCTGAGGGACGGCTATGCCTAATCAATTAGACCCAGCCTGTAAATAGGAGCTAAAGATGATTTTTTTTTCGATATTCTCTTTCTTTCCCCCCCCCGGTCAAATTAAAAGACGAAATTTCCCGAGAGCGAATCAATGTGAACGCGAACGAGTGCAAGTTACGTTTTCGTAAGTGAAAATGTGACATGGGGCTCGTGGTAAAGTTTTTGGTGATTTTATTATTCTTTTTTGCTTTTTAGGTGCGTTTTGAAAGTAGTTTCATGTGTATTTGTCTGTGTTTTGTAATCAGTTTATTTTAAATTCGCGAGATTCTTCGGGTTTAAATTTAATTGTATTACTTTTTCATTTGAAACAGTTAAACGTTTTCGAGTAGTTTCAAAAGCCAAAATGGTATTTTTCGAGTGTTACCCAGTTGAGTTCTCCAAAGTCCCAACGGGCATTCGATTTTACTTCCCGGGCGCACGGACAGTATAAAGTCCACCGCTTGGTCAGGCCGCGCGCTGGCCCGTGTGCTGAGCGCCGGCGGGTTCGTTGGGCAGGGGACCCGGGTGGATCGCGCGATCGCACGTTCGGCCGCGGCGCGGCCGGGAAGGGGGCGGGGCCGGGGCCCGGGCCGGGGGGGCGGCCAGGGGGGTGGGGGCCCGTCGTCGCGCTCGCCCTCGCCGGCCTCGTGCCCGCGCGCCGCCTCGCTCGACGCGCGCTGCTCCTCGCCCTGCGGCTCCACCGGTGAGCAAGAGCTGTGGCGAGGCCAATTATGCGCCAAGGGAATTGTAAGGGGTCTAATGATCGAGCCCGAGGGCGTTTTGTCGCTGGCCGATCGTTAGAACCGGTTTACGCCAGTGGTAAAAAGGAGTTACTATAAGAAGGAACCAATTTGACAGGTCGGAAAACAAATGAACGCCATGCAGGGCGATGACGTTGCAAGAGATAGTAATGAACCTCATTTACAAACGTGCTAACTATAAACGCACGCATAGACAAAATGAGTGCGTAGACATAACCTGCAATTACAATGTATGTCTGCAGCAGTGACCGGACAGCAACTGTCCAAGCTGTTCCTTCTTATAATAATCTCTCTACATATTCAAGATTTTATTTGTACCTAATTTTAATCTTTCAGATTTACGTACTAATTAACTAGTAGTTAACTTGACTCATTTTGTCTTTTCATATTTACCTCCCTTAATTCCCTACATAAGAGAACATGTAGCATCATCCAACAGTTTTCATATTTCCCTCGTAACCATGATGGAAAAACCTGAGTGAGCTATCGTATCCGACTTCAGCCAATGAGCTTCAGGCACCAGTTTGCGTCACAAAATTAGCGGAAATATTACATACCAAATACCATACCAAACACATACACATACCAAAATTATCAGCTTTTTTTAAGTCGTTGAAAAATATATCCGAAGCATTTTGTTGTTTTTTGTATTGCATCTTTTATTTCAATTACACCTTCATGGTGTTATCATTTAAGAAGAGGTTACTTTATCCCACTTTCAAAATTTTTCTCAACACTTCTCGCTCTCCACGCAACATGGCGTCTAGCGTCTGGCCTGTTTTATCAAACGAAGTGCCCATCCTGTTGTCACGTGGTTCGTGACATTAGCTAATACTGTGCAAAACGAGCAAACATCGCTGCACCGGACACGCTCACTAATGCATTTTCATTTTGTTCAAACCTCTCAATCCAGGTGAGTTATGCAGTGTATATCGAGCTCCATATCGAAGGCAATAAGAAGCAATAACATATCAGAAAAATACGCGTTATAAAACAGTTAGATGTCTACTAGCGTGTGAAGTTTGAGAAGAGGTTTGCTCAAAGTTTCGTTCCAAATTGAAGTAGTTCCGAACGTAGGCGTACACACAGAGGGAGAGAGCGGGTCTGTGAGCTTTTTGAAAATTTCGAAAGTGATCCTGTAGTCCTAAGTAATAAAATTTTCATTTCAGTAAAAAGGGTCAATTCCTAGTTGCTCCCTTTTTTTACACAGACAATTTGGGGCATTGACATACATTTCGGACTTCCTGTTGCTGAAAGTCTTCAGAATGTCGTTCCTTTCGACAATATAACGTCGGTAGTTAAGTGATGTTTTAAGAATGTCTCCTTACGCCTCTTGCAAAAACTCCCTGTTGCAAAAGCTCTTCTGAACGTTGATCCTTGACCATACAACATCCTTCGTCACGTGATCAATAGGTTTTAAGGATGTCTCCTTACGCCTGGCGTTAAAACTCCCTATTGCTAAAGCTCTTGTGAACATTGTTCCTTACGACCATATAACGTCAGTAGTCATGTTATCAATAGTTTTTAAGGGTGTCTCCTTACGCGTGGCACTAAACCGCCCCAACGTGTCTGGCGCAGGCACCGGGGAGCTGCGCACGCCGTCGCCGTCGCAGTCGTCGCTGGCGTCGCTGTCGGAGCGCGGCGGGTCGGTGTCGTCGGCGGGCGGGTCGCCCGGGCCGCCCGCTTCGCCCCGCGCCGCCGCGCTCGGCCGCTGCCTGTCGCCGCTGCTCATCCCGCCGGCGGGCGGCGGGCGCGGGGGCGCGTGCGTGGGCGTGTGCGCCGGTATGGGCATGGGCGTGGGCGATCCGCCCGCGCCGCCCGCGTCGCCGCTGGGCGCGCTGCAGCCGGACCTGTACCAGCGCCGCGACGGCCCGCTCTTCCTAAGCGCGCGCCGCGGCGCCGGCGCCGCCCTCGGTCGTCTGCACCTGCGCCTCAAGTACGACTTCGACCGCTCCGACCTGCACGTGCACCTCATCGAAGGTACGCTCTTTTCTTTCTTTCTTTCTTTCTTTCTTTCTTTCTTTCTTTCTTTCTTTCTTTCTTTCTTTCTTCTCTCTCTTTCTTCATTCTTCTCTTCTCTTCTTTCTCTTCTTTCTCTTCTCCTATCTTTTCTTTTCTTCTTTTCTTTTCTCTCTCTTTCTTTCTTTCAGTCTTCGTCTCTCCTTTCTTTCGTTCTCTCTCTCATTTCTCTCTCTCTTTTTCTCTTTTCTCTTTCTTTTCTCTTACTTTTCTCTCTTCTTTTCTCTCTCTCTCTCTCTCTTCTATCTCTCTCTTTTCTCTCTCTCTTTTCCTCTCTCTTTCTCTCTCATCTTTCATTTCTCTTCTCTCGTCTTCTCTTCTCTCTCTCTTTTCATCTTCTCTATTTTCTTTCTCTTCGTTTCTCTCTTTTCTCTCTTCTTTATCCTTCTTTTTTCATCTCTCTCTTTTCTCTTCCTCTCCGGCTTTTTTCTCTTCTTCTTTTCTCTTCTCTTTCTCTTCTCTTCTTATTCTCTTTCTCTCTTCTATTCTCATCTCTCTCTTTCTCTCTTTCTCTTCTCTTTCTCTCTCTTTTCTCTCTCTCTCTCTTTCTCTCTCTCTCTTCTTCTTCTCTTTCTCTTCTCTCTCTTCTCTCTCTCTTTTTTCTCCGTCTCTACTTTTTTTATTCTTTTCTTCTCTCTTTTCTTCTCTCCTTCTCTTCTCTCTCTCTCTTTCTCCTCTCGTTCTTTCTTCTCTCTTTTCTCTCTCTTCTCTCCTCTCTTTTTTATCTTTTCGTTCTCTTTTTCATCTCCTTTCTCTCTCTTTCTCTCGCTCTTCTTTTCTCTCTCTTCTTCATTTCTCTCTCTTCCTTTTCTCTCTTTCTTTCTCTTTTCTCTTTCTCTCTGCTTTCCTTCTTCTCTCCTCTCTTTGTTTCTCTCTGCCTTCTCTGTGCTGTGTGGGGTCCTCTCTCTTTTTCTCTCTCTTTCTCTCTTTCTCTCTCCTGTTCTGCATCTCGTTTTTTCTACTCCTTTCTCCTCTTCTCTCTTTTTCGTCGGTGTTTTCTCTTTTTTTCTCTTTTTTCTCTTCTCTCTCTCTCTTTCTCTCTCTCTTTTTCTCTCTCTCTCTTTTTTCTCTCTCTCTTTTTCTCTCTCTCTTTTTCTCTCTCTCTTTTTCTCTCCTCTTTCTTCTTTCTCTTTTCTCTCATCTTTTTCTTCTCTACTTTTTCTCTCTCTTCTCTTTTTCTCTCTCTACTTGTCTCTTCTCTCTCTTTCTCTCTCTCTCTTTCTCTTTCTGCTTCTCTCTTCTTTTTCCTCTTCTTTTTCTTCATCTCTCTCTTTTCTCTCTCTCTCTTTTTCTCTCTCTCTCTTTTTCTCTCTCTCTCTTTTTCTCTCTCTCTCTTTCTCTCTCTTTTTCTTCTCTCTCGACTGATGGAGATCTGGGAAATAGAACTATATATGTAAGGTAGGTTTTAAAGTTGCCAGATTAGTCAATTACAAAACATTTATTGACAGAAACAATACTTGGGCTCAATATTCTTCCAAGTAGGACTATTCTGCAACCACACACGGCACGCAGCGGGATTTCGAGCTCTAATGATCTTTCTGGAAGTCGGCAACCGGAATGCTGTTGAGATCCCTCGTCAAGGCCAGTTGTAACGCTTCCACCGAGCCGTGTTTGTGTCCTTTCAAGGCGGTGTGGTGGGGCAACATCGGAACTGTAGGGTGACTGAGACACGGTTGCGATGTTGTGTTGAGCTAGGTACGCCGCCACGTGAAAGGTAGTTTGCCTAGCAGCGCTCGCAGCACCAACTTCGCGCAGATCTTCATTTCCAGTTTTTTCGCTCACAATTTCTTATACTTGGGATTTGGCGACACCAAGTTCACTGGCAATCATGCGAAGTTAATCTTCGGACACTGTTCTGCAAATTCTTCACTCTGGCCACATTTTTCGTGAGTTTTGGTGCTCGTAGGTTGTACAGAACGTGCGTCGTCTTGAACGTCCTCTCGCCCCTCCCCGAACAGCTTGAGCAAGTCGAAAATACTCGATCTACACATGGCGTTGTCACCGTAAGTCATCTTAGTCATATCATAAGTCTTCTTCCCGGTTTTGCCGAAATTGACGCAAAATTTGATGGCGTAGCGCTGATCCAAAAGATGAATCATGAGCAGCGTGACTCGCGTGGAGGAGGGGGGTACCTGCAGAGGTTACGGAGACGAGCGACCTACATTCCACTTCGACTGAGAGCTGTCGTTGGCTTCCAGCCTTTCCTTAGCCTCTCTCCTCCAACACCAGGTGGAGGACCGCATTCTTTCCTTCTCTCTTGGAAAAAAACAGTGCGAATACTTTAAGGACAGACCTTGCACTCTGATTTAAATGTGAGGCTAATTGATAACGATGAGCGCGATTGGGCGCGATTATCCAAATCGAAGCTTCGTTACAACTTTTTTGTTTTAATATTGAAGTTCTCGAATGGAAAACCGCGTCCCAACTGATTAAAAGTCAAATCTCTCTACGTTTAAATCAGAGTATCAGTAGACGAATTCAGCCGCTGTCTGAAAACGTCCAGCTGCTCTGATCACTTGTTTTCTGTGGTTTTTCCGCTTAATACCAGGTGAATATCTGAGCCTCCCTAACAAGCGGACCTTGTGGAACCTGTTCTTCCTAATCCTTCTCTTACACATTTACACTTACATGCACTACACCATCATACATGTCGGGAGGCAAATTGGGAGTTTAAAGTTTGCCCCGTTGCAACGCGTTGGAACGGTACAACGCTTGCGGAAATACCTAGAGATGGCACCCGCAAGATGACGTGTATGTCGAAACCGAATCTCACGTTCTAACGAGGGAGGACAACTGCTATCTCTCGCGATATAACATATATATACTAACGCGAGTATCGTAGTAGTGAACCTGGCCGAAAACACAAAATTATCAATATCTATCTCTCTCCTTTCTTATTATCTCTCACTATCTTTGTCTGTGTGTGTCTCTCTCTCCCTCTCTCTTTCCCTCTCTCCCTCTCTTTCCCTCTCTCCCTCTCTTTCCCTCTCTCCCTCTCTTTCTGCTTCTCTCTTATTGTCTCTTTTTACCCCTCTCTCTTTGCCTCCCTCTCCCTCTATCTCCCTCTCTCTCCCTCTCTCTCCCTCTCTCTGCCCCTCTCCCGCTCTCTCTTTGCCTCTTTCTCTCTCTTTGCCCTTTTCTCTCTCTTTGCCTCTTTCTCTCTCTTTGCCTCTTTCCCTCTTTGCCTCTTTCTCTCTCTTTGTCACTTTCTCTCTTTCTACCTCTGCCTCCTTCTCCTTATCTCTCTTTCCCTTTCTCTTTTTATCTCCCTCGCTCTCTTTCTGTTTCTCTCTCATTACCTCTTCCTCTCTCTCTTTCCCTCTTTGTCTCTCTCTTTTAGCCCCTCTCTCTCTCTCTCTCTCTCCCTCCCTCCCTCTCCATCCCTCTCTGTCTATTTGTGCGTGCGCATGTGCGCGAGCGCGGTCGAAGGCCGAGAGCTGAGGGCAGAGGGCGTTGCAGCGCACGACCTGGCGGGCAGCGACCAGGGCGGCTTCAACGACCCCTACGTACGGCTGAGCCTGTGGCCCGCTGTGGACGCGCGCAAGCGCCAGACGGCCATCCACCGCAACGAGCCCAACCCCTTCTTCGACGAGCACTTCAAGTTCCCCGTCTCCCACGAGGAGCTGCAGGACAAGACGCTCGTCCTCCAGGTACGCCCACCCACTTCGTGCACGTCATAATCCAGCGCCCCCAAGCCATCCATACCGTGTTTGAAAACCGCAGGAGAGGATTTCATTTGGCAATAATTTGTTTATTAATTTAATATTACGATTTAAGGAGAAAATAAAGTGAAAACTAGTGGTTCCACAGCTGCACATACTTTCTCATATTGCTTCTACATTTGCAATTTTAGACAATATAGAAATTTCAACGAAAATGAATCCCCCATTATTTTATGCGACCCTTCTTCTATTCGTGGGGGGGGGGAATTGGAGTTTTTTAGGGGGGAAAAATTTTTTTTAGAAAGTGCATAAATTTCATGCACAAATTACGCGAAATCTTCTCGTGTTTTCAAAACATTGTACATTATGTGTTTTTAAAGAAATTATTTTTTACGATAGATTTGAGAAGGCAAAAAATGTCTATAATAAATTTTGGAGTTTTAAATGTTAACATTTTGCAATTTTAGAAAAAAACTAGAATTAGCCGAAAATGGGACTAGCGTCACATACTATATTACCGTGCTTGATACATACGATATTTCTAATTTACGATTTGTAAAAACATTTTTTAACTTTTTGTTTCCCTGAAGTCGGTTTATTTTTTTCAGTGACTACTCATCAGTTAGGGGGGAAATTCGTTTTGTCGAATGGATGTCGCGAGCCTTCACAACTACTTAGCTTCAACATTAACTATTACAAAATTTCTATATATAATTTATAATTCAACATCTTGCCACAACACTACATTTAAAGCAACTGGGTGAATGCCGGGAGATTCCGGTTCGGTTCTCAACTGGAACAATCCATTTCTTGAATAGTCAAACAGCAGTTGTACAATTATAAATATCAAGTCAGAAAGTGAATGGAATTGATTTTTTTATAAAATTTCAACTATTGTCTTAACGCAAATGAAGACTAAGATTTAAGTGTATGCTATCCGATTTGTAAGCGCTTCAAATATTGGGAGGAATTAACTTAACCACGTTCAATTTAATGATGAAATAAAAACATTGTTTTCAGCGCGCCTTGTATGGAATACTGGTAATGTAAATTTATTGGGAGTGAAAAAATGAAGAAGAATTAGTAAGAAAACAAAAAAGAACAAGTTGTCAGTAAACTAGTGCGGCTCCTTGAGGTAGACAAGATAGGCACTGCCTACCCGGATGAAGATTTACTAGTTTAATACATTTCGTAATAATAATAATAATAATAATAATAATAATAATAATATAATTAAATTACTATAATATGATAATACTGTAACAATATAGTTAATTATTATTCATCAGGAAATGTATAATGAACTTTTTAGTATCGTGGCACGAGCCATATTCCCATTCGAAACGCTTTCTAACAGTCCGTGCGCCATGTGATCTTTAGCCGTTTCTTCCCGCAGGGACATGCGCCTGCTTGCACGTCTCAGGACAGAAAATTATTCCATAATTAGTAGATGTTAGGCTAGTTGATTTTGAATTTATGAGAAGTGGGGGTGCTAACTTAATGTCAAGCTAGCACCCCCACTTTTGGATGAGGTTTTTTTATTGTTTATAGTCGAGTACAAAATTGTTAATTGTAGTAGAAAATTAGTACATAATTAGTACAAAATTATAGGCTAGTTAATTTTGAATTTCGAACAAGTGGGGGTTGCAGCTTGACGGAGGTCGTCTCAGGGTAGGCGCACCCGGGCGCTGCCTTGCTTCGCACTGTATTCTAAGAAAAGGCTCTGTAGAGAGTGTAGAGCAGTAGCGTGATGTGTCCATACTTGACGTACGCGCTTTGTACGTAGGCCAGCGAATTCGCTTGCTGCCTGGTCGCATGGAAGTGTGCGATTTGCACCAGAATTTCCACTCACATGCAAGCTGAGTAGCGTGTGGGTGTACTCTTTCGTTGACGAGTTAACAAACGAAGAAAGTTATTATTTATGACGATTTTTTAATTATTATTCTGCAGAATATTGGTGTGTTTTTGATTTTTTTATATTTAAATCTGGTTTTACGTGACACATACAATGTATCAAGTACTACGTACACCGTTTTGTCGTCTTCGCGATGTATAGAAGAGACAAATTTTGGGCAATGGTTGAACACTCCTATGTTGATGATGGTTGTACATTGTGCTGTCGAGAAAAATGCAACAAAACTCAATCCATCGTGGTATTAGTCAAGCAAATGGCTAACAGGTAGTGAAGGTAAAGCTAGATTTTGTTGTTGGTCATGTCTTTTATTGGTAATGAGGGGGAGTACTCGCAATAGAGATGGATATTTTGACATGACAAATTATCAAATGTCAAAAGATCACATATGTAATTCAGTGTATCGTATACGCCTGGGAAACAATTTAATCCGATTTCTGAAGGGCAACACAAACTCGCAAAACTTGTAGAGCCTGAATATCTTGAAATAATTTCTTCATGTGCTTCATGGAAATAATACTTTAGAACGCAATGGTATCAGTGATACATTTGTTTTGAATAAATTAAATAAAATACTACGCTACTGACGTGTTTTGAAACATGCTGAAATAGGGAGTCGTTTATTTGTTTGCGTCTCAGTCTACTTTCTAATACTGCGTCGTGCATTTCATATGAAAATCGCGAAATTACAGCAACGAGTATTACGTACACATACTTTATATTTACAGTTTTTGTTATGTCACTACGGAAAGGGAGATTCATGAATATCACAGACAATTTCGAAATCGTATTGTGCCGTTTGTTTGTTTTTGTTTTGTTTTTTGCTGAATAAGATTTCTTTCTCCTTGAAACCCGCGGTGGGGAGAGAGATGTTACCACATAATTGAGCGGCAAACACGCGGACTTGTGGTCGTTCGTGCATCAGATCATAACAGCAGCAGCATAGCAAGAAAACAAATCGCAATAAGAGCACACAACAGAAGACGGCACAGAAACACACACTCGACGCATAACCAAATAAGTGATGGCGCCAAATGACTCTCTTCTTTCAATTACTACGCGTTGTATTGGTTTTTGTATTTTTTTTTTCTTAATAAACATTGGCAACTCTGCAGTGACAACATCAGAATTTGAAGCCTGTGATTGGATAATGAAGCCCCCTCTCTCGCGTTGTTTCCTAGCTGTCAACTAGTTAGAAATATTATTCGGATAATAGTAACATACTAAAAGGCTGGAAGAAACTAGTTCGTCAAATTTGACCTCCAAAGGTGTCCTTTCTCCAGATTCGAAAGAAACAAGTGACCGTGTAAGAATTTCTTCACACTGAAGGTTTGTACTCTTACAAATTTTGTTACAAGTAACCACAAGATAGAAAATTGCTTAAGCAATTTTGTACCTGGCTTCTTCAACGTCCTGAAATTTGCAGTTCACGCACGAAACACATTTCATGAGAAGTCGAGTAATTAATTCTAGAAACAGTCACTTAATGGCTCCGTCTAACTCACATGCAACAAGTAAAAAAATGAATCCAAGTCGAATTGTTCTTAAATGTAGAATTGTCAGCAATAGAATTATATGATCTCATTTGATTTATGGATTCTTCGCCGGAGATACTTGATTATTTTCTTGGAACCCGAATTATCTTCCTTTCAAGAGGATGTGTCTTTACCGCTGTCTTTCCTCAAGGTACTCGTACCGGCATAGATGGCTCAGGGAATCAATTGATGTCAGTGCAGAGTCTCTGACAGGGAGGACCTAACGTTCGAGTTCCGACGGTGGTAGAATTTTCGGCATAAGCCATAGCTAGGTCGAATTCAGTCGCTAGGTCAATTTCGACCGCCAACATGCAATACACTTACAAAACTAAATACCTTTGCAGTTGACACGCCCGAAATCATTAATCAATCAACCATAGAAACAGCGTTTAAAATTTGTGCAAGAGTGACACAAACCTCATAATCATCCTCTTGCATTTTGAGCTACTTTTTAGAAAGTAAGAAGTACATGAAAGCATGTAAGAAGTAAACTAAAAAGTAAGCCTTCCTGTTTTTAATGTTCTGTTTTAGGTGGTGCCCACTGTATCTCATAACAATGATTATCCCTGATCAAAAAACATTATTTGAGTCAGACAGAGTGCCACTTCAGTCGAAATTTGGCTCATTTTTTCTTAATAACATTAAAATATGCTATTAACCACTTCTAAATTCCCAAATCTTCGTGAATTTTAATCCAAAATATTTTAGTTACCGTCAATGGGGGCTAGACTGGGCCGCATGGGGTGACGTGCCAATGTGCAGGCTCCGTTCCTTCGTATCCTCTTGACAGTTATATGCATGTTATATACTCTCTGGACAGGAATAAAAACTTTGCTATTGGGTTGTTTTTTTTTGTTGTTTTTTTTTACATTTGACATTTTTTTAAAAAAAATATGTTAATGAGTGACAAATTTCAAAAAAAATCATATACAATTATTCATAAATATTACTAGATTTCCCGTATTTTTGCGCGAAATTTAGATAATTTTCTAACAATTATTTTCTCAACATCTTTTTCCTTTTCTTTTTGTCTTTTCTTTCCTTAAACGTTGTTCACGCACAGACGTTTTGCCGTCACTCGATTTTTCGGTATCGAGGACCCGCAAAACATGGATTCTAGATACACCACGTTTTAGAGGATATTTTTCTAAATTTAGCAACTGGATTTATCCACTTTATCCTGACCAGGACCCGGCAAGAGCTTTTCTGCCGAAAATTCGCCCGCTTTTCCCGCAGTATTACTTAACTTTCCCCTCTTAAGAATGTACCTTCTCAAGTGCAAGAAAGTAAACAATTTTAAAAGAAGATATTCTCAGATACTGTTTCAATTTTTATGTTTAAGCTTTTGTATGAATAGTGCTATATGCACAGAATAACATGACATAAACATCATTTTGAGCTATTATTTAGATTTTTCAAAACTTGTGATTTTCTTTGTATGTCACTCATGTCGTTAATATTTACATTATTGGTGTTTGTTATACATTATTGTATTTGTGAGTACAAATGTTTCAAATGATTTCTTATTACCTTTATTGAAAACTCAAAAATGTTCTGTGAAAATGAGTTTAAAATTGTGCATTTTCAGAATTTTATAAGAACAGGTCCTAATTTTTCAATGAAAATGTTCGTAAAGGTCTATGTTTTACTCTTCTGTATTCTTTTTAAAGGCATATTTTAATTCTTTAATTATAGAACCTAAAACCTGAGAAAATATGAAAAAAATGTTTTGACGCCAATAGGTAGCAGCTGGGAAGAGGAGGAGGCAATACCAAAAAGCAAGTCCAGTCTAAAGAGATTAGAAAACAACACCTAGTGTGAGAAAGCTTATGCCATTCTGTAGTACCACTAGTTTAATTATGCAATTAATGAGCTGTTTATTGATTTAAATATCAAATTCAGTTGTGAACTGTGCATAACATGAGAAGGAGAAATATGTTTTGATGATGGATGTGAGTGTTGAATATTGTATTAAGTGATGGTTGCTTTGTAGTAATGTTACATTAATGAATCAAAATAAACTACTTTTATTTTCCTGAGTCAGAATTTCTAATGATATCGAGAAACAAAATAAATCTTATAAATCAACTGACTTTTCCAATATAAATTCTAATATTGCACCCTTACACTTAAAAAGGTATTTGTTACTCTTTTTAGATATGTTTAACTTAATTTCAGAGACTATAAATGTGTAATTTGCATTGAAAAATAAAAATAATTGTACTCACATCAGATAAGAATAATACACTTGTTTCTCAAGTACTAAATCTATCATTTTTTGTAGGTCTTTGATTATGATAGATTCTCCCGCAATGATGTTATTGGTGAAGTTCGAATGACTATGGATGAGTTTGATGTTACATCAAGCATTGAAATATGGGGTGAAATTACTAAAAACAAAAAGGTGAGTCATGTTAACTTTGTTTTGTTATTAACATAACATCCCCTTGGCTTTTCACACAAGTGTTGAATACAGACACTTTTCTTCAGAGGAGGGGAGGATCAGTCCTCTCAGGTCAAAAATATTAAAATTATAAAACACTAATACAACAAAATTTTGAAATTGCCCTCTAACTCAGGCATATATATTGGATATTTCATAACCATATTAAAAAGTATGAATCAAGAACTAGGAAAAGCTTAATGATTTAGATTAGATTAACATTTGATTATATTTGCCAAGCCCCCAGGCCAACAGGACTAGAATAATTTAGTTTCTAGTCCTCTTGGTCCAGGCCACCTGCAGACATGATTGAGAGCTTCAAAGCTTGGAGTGTCTTTTTCACTAAAGTTGATGTTGCACAAGATTCTATTTAATATATATTTTAAAGAATTAAAAATATTTGCAAATATAAAATTAATATTTATTTATGTTTTGTTTCAATTATTCATAGAATGTCTGCCTTGGTAGCCTTGTTTATCAACTATTTAATTAAAATAATACCAACAATGAAATTGCATGCTAATTAAACAACCCAGTTTTACTATTAAAAGGATTGGAGGTACAAGGAAAATTGATAAATGGTCTAGGGCAGAGTTTCTCATAAATGATCTGTGAAATACTGAAATTTTACCACAGGAACCATGGACTTTCATGATTATTAATTAGCAAGAAAGTTCTAATTGCGATTATTAAAATATGACTTTATTTCCATTTAAATGAAAGTGTAATTATTTATAAAATATTTTAATAAGAGAGAAATTAGAATAATTATAAATTGTATGAAAATAAATAAAATGTGAAATTAATTATTGTTAAACAGATGGCTCTGAAAAAGTGTGTTATTGGCTGTCTTGTCTGTTGCTTTGAAAGATGGTCTTCTTAGAATAATTCCTACCCAATTCCATGTGTTCCCAACCACCCTCTTTGTAATGTCTCCAGCAAATGATACTGTGACATTAGGTTTCTCTTCGCTGTAAATGCTAGCATTTGCCAATTTTGATTTGATGCCTTCGCAATTTCAGATTGGTGAATCAATTCAGATGTGGTGTATCCCAAAGCTCCCTTTGATTTTATGGGGATACAAATAACTGTTCCATAAATTTTTTTTCTGAATTTTCTTTTTAATTATCTACTTTATTACATTCCATTTTTTCCTCTTTCAAAAGAGTCTCATGACAAAATTTTATTGAAAAGCACTGCTCTTGAAGTTCTCTTGCATAATTCATGGACGACCTCTTTGGCTGGAAATTTTCACTGTGAGACTTGTTAGTTGACCATTCAGAGCACCACATGCCTCTTCTGAACTGATGTTATACCCTTGATCATGACACACTCCAGTAAAAAAGATGTAACACAGGACAGATGGGTGCTCCAAGAACAGTAAGAGTACACTGTAAGAATGAGCATCTAGATGTCACATGTGGTATCTAAATAAATGGTAAAAGGTTTTCTTTTTTGGGGGTTGCTTAACTCTGCAACCTTAAATAAAAAATATTTTTAAAAAGGAAGTGCTATTTTGTGAGTGTATCTTTAAAAGATTTTGTGGAATTACTTACAAACGGAGATAAAATTATTTGAACATATACACTTTGTGATGTGAAGGAAAACAACTATTCTCCATGGAATCGTAAGCTTCCACAGTCAAGAGTCATTTGAAAGCTCTTGGCTGTTATTATCAGCTACATCAAGAGCAGTAATGCCAACATTTCAACCATGGTCTTCTTCAAGTGCACTTCAACCTAAAGAAGATCACAATATGATGGTCAAAATGTCAGTGTCACTGCCCTTGATGCAGCATCACCTGACCAGCTGAGAGTTTTCACAGTTATTCTCCAATTCTTAAGTCCCAGCCTATAGCAGAGATAATTTAATTCATGTAACACGCTAATGCAAAGTTGACATCTTGAAAATTATCTGTTGTAATCAATGCAAGATATTACTTCCCTTTTCACTCTCTTCACAACAACCATCAAATCTTCCATCATCATTTATTCTTTCATAATATAATTCATTTATTCATAATACAGGAGCCCAGTAAAAAAATTATAAGGGCACTCTTAAGAAATCTCCAACAACATGCCATAACAAAGATATGCAGGTGGCACAATTCTTAGTCATCAAACTGTAAGGAAATAAAAAATACAATTGATGAATACAAGATTTTATTTTCAGATTAAAATCCTATCCAAACAAATTCATATCCACACATACTTCCTTAAAAAACCAATGATGATGCCCTTTTTCCTGAAGAATTGTTAATGAAGAAGCTACAATGTCTTGTAAGAAAGAAATAATTATCCTAAAATTAAGTTAAACAGTTCTGGCTCAATATTTGTCTTTGTTGTGAGAGTTTTAGAAATACAAAAAGGTAACTTAGGATTGTATTAAAATAATATTTTGTTTTAAATTTTCAGCCTCCAGAAGAAATGCAAGAGGTTCTATTATCTCTCAGTTATCTACCTTCGGCAGAAAGATTAACAGTGGTATTGCTCAAGGCTCGTAATCTCTTTCCACCCCAAGACAAAGACAGCATAGGTAATGTTTGTTTGTTAATGTACCCATAATAAATAGAATTGCCGATCCGGTGGCCGAGATCGCTAAGGCAGTAGTGCCATAGCGATCTCGGACCGAAGGATCGCGGGTTCGATTCCCCCCTCAGGCATGGTTGTGTTGTGTTCGTCCTTTCACCCCCTAGATTCATAACATCATCCTCCATCTCTCATTATCACCTTTCTGAATAACATTCAGAATTGTAACTCAAGGATTTATCCTCACCTCAAGGTGACACACCTTTGATAGTCAACCATGAACATTAGTGAAGTGGAACAACTCAAGTGGTCCAATGTGGCCAATCAAGATAAAAAAAATAAATAAATAGAATTACCACAGATATTAATCTCGAGTGAAATTCACATTTGAAACTTCTACAACAGTTATTTTTTTGTATTACCTTTTTTTATTTGCATTCTTTCCAAGGTTTCTTCACCACCTATCATAAAATGAATTAACATTACCTCCCTTACTTCTTCTTCTTCTAAAAATGAATTTGCTCTACTTTCAAGTCATGTAGTAAAGATAATGGGATAGAGATATTACTGGAGCCCAGAAGTTTGTCAAAATGCCTTGTTGTTATCGTTACTATTTTATGACTTTGAAAAATAGGATTTACATAATTGTACTTCTAAGGTTGTTTTAGTACATTTTTATTTTGCCTATTTTAGCCTCTAATTCCTAGTTTTTCCCTTTTGTCTCGTTTCTACCTTTTTTTGCCTTTTTCATTATTTTCTTTATCTTCTGGCACAAATTGCAATCAAGCTGGATCCCTGCAAGCCTGAAGACATGAAGGCATGGTCGTATTTTGTCTTTCTGTGGAAGTAAAGGCTGTTTTAAAATCTAAATAAAAAAGGAAGATGATACTTAGCCACCAATCCCTTTTGAGGTCAGCTCTCTGTATTTGATTTACCATTCTCAGTGCTGGTGACTACTCAAATGCAAAGAATGAAAAATATTTTTCCATTTTCATTGACGCCATTTCAAGATTTAAAAGGGAGTTCGCAATAGCATTTTGAAGAGACAGCATTGGGAGTCAAAGATATTTGGTATCAACCTACCAAATGTGATGTGGAAGCACATTGCAAAGAAAAGATCATTTCCATACATTATTAGTGTTCATGTAAATTATAGAGTTTAAATAAAAATATGAATTATCTGAATTATTACTTATTTACGATAATTCCTTTTAAATGTGATTTTTCATAATTTACATGCCTTCTTGCTCTACTTTTGTTAGAATAATTGCCTTTTTGCATGGCTATTTTAGTAAAAATAAAAGCCTTTTTACCTGCCTATTTGGGGTAAAATGAATGCAACCATGTTATGGATATAATGTAGTGCTTGTCAGGCAGCTTATATTTGATTCCACAATTGTAGAGTTGAAAGCTATATGCAGTTAATTTATAATTTGAGTGGTATGATTTTCATGTTTATTCCAATCTATTATTTTCTTTACTCTTCCCAGATCACAAATGACTAATTAAAATGTCCTAGATCACAATGTTTTTCATGTCTCTCTAATATGTCCAATATATCATAAAACTGAAAGTACAATTGCTCATTCATTGAGCTATCTAATGATAATTTTTTCTACATTCACCTTTCTTCATTTCTAAAGCAGACAAGCATTTCTAAAGCAGTATGATTGTATAATTTTTTTTCTATTTTCAGATCCCTTTGTAAAAGTCTATCTCTTAAGTGGGGGGAAACGTGTCAAAAAGAAGAAAACTGCTGCAAGAAAAGGCAATAGTAACCCAGTATGGAATGAAGCTTTGTCATTTAATGTACCTTCAGCAAACTTAACACAAGCTGCAGTCGAAGTAAGTATTTGCAGAAAAATTGCAAAAATCTTAGTTTTTTTAAACAGAAAATTGACTTCTGCCATACTAAAAGAAGCAAACTTTCAATTTATGTCTATAATGTCATTTGAATTTTACTTAAATAAACTATCATTAATCATTTCAAAACCCATTATTCAAACATTCTTCTATTATGAACATTGCTATTTTCAGGTTTGTGTAATGGATCAAGGTAATGACTTAATTGGAAACAACCCTCTTCTTGGGTGTTGTATTATTGGTCCTCAAGAAGAAGGTGCGGAACGTGAACATTGGAGTGATATGACTCAAAGCCCCAGAAAAGCAGTTGCCATGTGGCATACTCTACGGTAATTCATTCTTAATCAGAAAATGCCTGAGCAACCACCTCAAAGGCTTCTTGATCTGAAGAAGCAATGGCAAATAGTTGAAGTATTGATAAGATGTTAATCATATAAGCTATAAGCTATAAGCTATAATAAGCTATTCAGAGTCATGAATACTTCCCCTCTAAATGTACCTTTCTGACACAACATGTGTCTTCGAACTCGTACAGTAGGAAATTTAAAATACACACAACATAGTATAAAAATTATGTAACTTCAACCCTTACTAATAATTTTTTCTACACTCCAATTGATTGGTAATTGCAATTCATAAACAATATCAGTGATTATTCTTGTGATTTCTTTGTAGGGAAAGTTGGAATGATGAAACATATCACCTTCATTATTTACAGATAGAAACAAATTTCACTATTCAAGCAGCGTAGATAGCTAAATCAATTTCAATTCAATAAGTAGAGAATGTAAATTAAATTCACTTACATACATTTTAATTGTTTAAACAAACAAATGTCAAAAGATTTAGTAACTACCTGCTTTTTTTCTTCTGTTCCTAAAACTCTTTTAAAACGGTCTTGTAATTTGTTTATATCTGAAAGGCTGCATTTTCCTTCCATGTATTAGCATAACATTAAAAGTAATATGATATAAAAATAATATTGAAGCTTTTATTACAATTATAAAATACAATACATATTATATAAATAAGATAGGGGGAATTAATTCATGCATATAGATGGCCTTGTAACAAGCTTATAAATCTAATTAAAAAAGTAATGTTATAGTGTTCATTGCTAAGATCATAAAACTACTAAAGAAAATAAATTGAGAAGAAAATTTAACTCTTGTTGATTGTGATAATACTGGTGATACTAGTCTTTGCCGTATTCTAATATGAACAACAGCATAATGCCAACAAGAGTTAGGAATTGCATTTTACATGAATAAAGAAGCCGATATTTTGGCATGAAAAAATATTAAAGTAGTATCTCTTTACATACAAAAATAAACAATTATCCATGTGGCAGAATGTAAGGCAGTAAACGCATATTAAAAAAATATGAAATGCTACAATATTGAGAAAGATTCCAACAAGAAGATTTTCTTTAAAGCCTAACATATAGTTGTCTCAGCAGACAGGCACTCCTAAACTAAATATTTATGTTCCTGTTTGCACTTGCAAAGAAGACAGTGATTTCATATAGTATAAAATGTTATTCTACAAGTGTATGCAGAATGATTGCAGATGGTGTTATTTGGAAGTGACAAGAGTGTAGAATTTCTGAAGGGAAATGGCTAATGTTTTCGAAAATTTATTTTCTTCCAAAAAAATCTTGACTTTTTTGCAAAAATGAAAAATTATTTTAAAAAAGGTATTTTAGTAGTGCATGAAGACAAAGTATTTTCCACAATATCACTAAAGAGGCTATTTTCATTAAATGTCAAAGATATTTAATAGATATAACAAATAAGTCATTCATTCATATTCACTCAAGAAATTTCTCACTATATATATATTTTTAAATCGGTATTTTATTTTATAATTACAAATCTAAGAAATACTTCTTTTTGTAAAGAACTCTTGTTCTCTTTGTTTATGGCCTAAAAGTAAGGGGTAAAGCTGCATGATATATTCTTGTCACATTTAAAATATGTAGGGAAAGTAGATGTGATAGTTAAGACATTCAGAATCTCTTAGAAGAATGCACATTTTAGATCTTAATCTATTTAACTTACTAATGAAGATGATGTAAATGGTGGTTCAGTTAAGCTATTACACGGAACATTATTTACCCTTAACAAGAACATGATTATGAATTCAAAATTAGTTGTTTTATTACTACACAAAAACATATGTGAATTATTAGAAAAACTAAGTTTTAATTTCTAAAGAAAATTGTTTTACATTATTTTAAACACAATTGAATCTGTTTTCTTTCAGTCATTGAATCAATATTGTATTAAATTCTGAAAGTTACCTTAATGTCGTTATGTATTGTTATTCTGTTTAATTCTCAAAATATTTGTGTTTGAACCAAAAGAAAACTAATTGATCTAAAAAAAGACTTTGGACTTCATTTTCAATGATAAGACATTAATAATGACAAATTATGAAAATGATAGGCTGTACATGATATATTTATATGAAGACGTATAATGTACAAATAAACAGTATTTATTACACTTAGAGACAGAGTTAGTATATACATATATTACTAAGTAGAAATTTCAAACTATTTTATTTTTTAAATAAGGAATGGGGTATGAAATACTGTACCTATTTCTGATCTACTATGGTGCAGATTGTGATATATAACTGGAACAGTTTTAAATGTTTCTCCTTTGTTTTTACAATTGCTAGCATTATTTTGAAATCAGGCATTTAGGAAGAGAAACAACTGAAAAGCCAAGAAAGCAGTTCAGAAAGGCCTTAAGTTGTTCAATTCTCATGTAAGTTTAAAAATGAGCTTATTGTTGACGTAATGTAAGCACCTTACACAGAATTATTGTATTCATAATGTGGATGTTTGCAAAAAGGTATGTTTGTGTAATTATTAATGTTTGCAATATCAATTTGCACTTGAACCAAAACTATAAATACAAATAGATGTTCTCCGCACCAAGATTCTGAAAATTTGTAAACGTGAATTTGTTCAATTGAATCAAATTAAATATGTATATCCTTTGTTTATTTAATAATAAGAGTCATGCAAGTGAGTGCTTCCTTGACTTGAGTTCTTTGTAATATTTAAGTTTCTGTTATATTTTTTATCAGCAAGAACTCAATGATGGGATTAAGGAGATTTTGCATGCCGTAGCGGACAGCACTATCGATCTTCTGTGTGTGCAAAGATGCACAAAAGTGTTGCGAAATTTGAATTGCGCATGTGCAGAAAATCAATCATGCTTTTATATTCGAGGGTGCACAAACACCCTATTAAGTTGGGCAAGATATTAAACTAAAAAAGACATACAGTATATGTAAGAACTAAAATTACTCCTATTCTGCATGAAATGTAAACATATTGATATAGCAACTGCACTCAAAGACATGTTACATAATAATAAGTAATTTAAATAAAATTGTTTCTGTTCCCCACTGGTATGTCTATTTCACTTAGATTTTTAAGATCTTGTTTTAACAGAAAAAAATAATTTTGTATAAGTCAGTCTTTTAAAACTTTTGTTCAAAGGAACTGAAGTCAATTTATTGAAAGTGATAAATTAGGAAAGATGGATGATTTTTGTGAATGAAAGTAGGAATTTTTGAAGGTTGCAGAAAGTATTTTTTTAAGGAATTATCATATTTTCATAACAAGATAACAGTGGATTACTAAAAATGATTTGTTATATTATTTTTTGAAGAAAAAAATTAATATACATTAATATTATTGATAATATTATACACAATTTCCTTACATCAATAATTTCAGTTACTATGCTTTCAGAAATCTATTAATAAAAAGTACACAATGTGATAAAATATTAGGATGAAATTTATGTTTTTGCTTTTACATTCTGTAGCTTTGTACGTGGCACTCACAATCTTGCATATAGTATAATATTTCATTATAGTTTATAGTAGAATAGTTACTCATTTCTCTCATGTAAATCTGTTTGAAACAATTGTTTTGTAAATTGTATAGAATTATTGCTTGTTGTTGTTCGTAAACATTATTATAAACTTACAAATCAAATATTGTTATGGATTTGAATATTGCATGTTATCTCTTGAAGTCTTGGCAAACGCTTGTATGACAGCAGGGATATTTGTAGTTAATAGTTGCATCTCCTTGATAAGTATGATGCACTTGTTTCATGTATGGACATAATAAAAAAAATTATTTTGATTTTAGGTTATTACAATAATTCAAATAAATATGTTCATTCATCAAGAGTATTAAGAAAGAAATCATTATGGAATAAATACATAATTGACTTTACCTACATGTAGAGTAAAAAAATTGATAAGCATCATATCCTATTAAAATATTATTGAGGATTTGATAGAAGGCCTTTGAAACATACTCTGTATTATTACGTTCATTTTTAAAATGTATTTTTCCCATTTTTGGAATACTCTTTTTGTTACCTTCATTATTTTATGACATTTTTCCATGATTATAAAATAAGATCAAGAAGGGGATGTCAAATTCTTCACAAAAAATATTTTTCTGTGTATTTATAATTATATACATCTGTGTGAAATGTTTGGGCCATCAAGTTTATACATATTCAGAGAAATTCTATATGCATACATGTGTGTTATTTGTTGATAAGTGCATTTTGTTAACTCAATCTGTTAATCAGATATATAAAACATATACATATATATTGAATTAAGTGTTCTGATATTGTTTGCATTTCCTCCCTCCCCCATCAATATATTTTAATTATACAATATATTTAATTTTTATTAATACAATTGAACTGTCAGTGGTTTAAAAAAATATTTTTATAAACTGTGGTGAATATTTACTTGATATAAAAACCCCTACAATTGTTTTTAAAAAGTTGAGGTGTGATATTTTGTATGTTTGTTTTGTTTTGTTTTTTCTTTTTTGTATTACCGTTGTTGATTATACTTCACCCATCATCAGTACTGTTTGCCAGTTACTGTATGATGCGTGAATTGTTTTTATTGGAATTTAGATTTTTTCCAAGGAAACTCAACAGGCAAAAGGAAATCAAAATCATCAAATTATATAAAATAACAAATAAATTGTAAATAAATGAAAAGAGATGTCAGTTGGCAACTGGCTAATATGAAAACTAAGTTATACTTAATTACCATTTTGAAAATTTGTAATGACAAATCAACAAGCAAAGTGAAATAAAATTATTATCTAAATTAACAAATCAAGAAACAAATAGAACTTCCACACCAAATGGCAGCTGACATTAACTTGAGTTAAATTGTCCAATTATAAATAATTAGCAATTAAATATTAGGACTGAAACACAAAAATTAGTCCATACCGTGAACCATTAATGAAACTGAATGAGAGTAACAGGAGCAGTATACAATTATTACAAATTATTATCTTGTGATAATCGCTGTTTATAATATGAAGATTTATAATAATTAACAACAAAAAATCTTGTAATGACAAAACTCAACAGGCAAAAATAATAATAATAATAATAATAATAATAATAATAATAATAATAATAATAATAATATAATAATAAT